AATACCTTTCCATTTAAACGTGCTGGAGAGTGAGAAAAAAGTTTCAATTTTCAAAATAATTTTCCTTACACCTTTGATCCTAAATGATTTTTCTTCAGATCCCTGTGTTACAATAGCAATTCATGAAAGCGGATCTCAATTTTATCAGATTGGTACATTGTATAGACCAATTAATTAATAACTAAAGTTTCCTTTTCTCTAAATTCAAACTGAACATTCATACAGATTAAAACCATTGTGTTCATATACATTCTTGCACTCAATATATTAGAAACCAGGTTTTGAGAAACTGAAAAATCTTCAAATTTAGATTGTGTTCAAGTACATTCATTAATAAAAAGGAGATGTTACAGTTATTAATGAAAAATATATCACACTCCTAATTAACCCAAAATATTTGAATAATTACAGGTATATGAGACATATGGTTTTGTTTTTAAACATTGTTGGGGAACAGTAAGCTTCAAGGGACTTCAGAGAGCGCTGTGATCCAATGGTCTGTTGTTGCTCGGTCTGAAATGAAAAAAAATATTACAGTTCTGCCTGTTAAATAAAATATAGTACGGACAAAAACAAACTTCGAAATTGTTATCATAGTCCCTAAAGCTGTGTTTTGAAGTCCATTATTAGGTTTAAAAACATAAATTGGGTTGATAGCTAAGAAAGGAGATGACGCCAAAAGAAATCAAATGTCAATGTCAATTAAGGGTGACATTCATTAAAAAAAAAAACCAATCCACTGATTGGAATTGAAGAAATAAAATTGTCGTGTTATTATTCACTTTCAAATAAATAAGTGCCAATGGCCCACTTTTCATGCATAAGTGACTTTTAAAAAATATATAAAAACGTAAAAAGTACAAAACTCTTCAGATGATTTAATGAAATGTAAAATGAAATATGAATAAACAGTTAGATTTTGAACAAAAAACGAGTACGACATAATTCCAGACCAAGTTTCCTCTAATGATTTTCTGAATTTTACCTATTTTTAATCTACAAAAAAAATTATTATAGAAGCAATTCTTAGTTTCGGTTTAATTATGCCAATTTTATAAGTAACTTCAGCTGAAATTTTCAAAAGAAAAAATAGGAAGAAAATATTTATTTCTAAAATGTTTAAATTTTGCATCCGATACTTAATAATTTTGATTAAGAACTCGTAAATCATACATATAATGTTTCAATTTGATTGACAAGAAGGATATGGAGATAACGAGCAGTATTCAATATCAATCTCCATAAAACAATACAAAATAGGAGCAGAGCAAACACGGACCTCCGAAACATCAGAGGTGGGATCAGGTGCCATGGAGGAGTGAGCATCCCCTGCCGACCGGTCACACCCGCCGTGTGCTCCTTGTCATGATCGGAAAATAACGGGAAAATCTGTCGTCAATTCATTGTATAAATAATGGACTAACAATTAGTATGAAAAACGTCAGTCAGCATCTGACTCAATGATAAATTGTATTTGCTGACAAGGTCATTGTTTCGACTATAGAACTTACGGAAATTAATTCTTCGGACTCATCTTGGAGGTTTTTTAATGTTCAATATTTCATCCGTAAGAAGGTCTGTAACAAGTTTACAAATACAAAGTGAACATTAACATAACTTGCATCTACATTATTTATAAGTTGTTAAGTGAAGTTGAAAAGTTATAATCTACAACATGCATAATGACAGCATAATTACAGAAAATGAAAAAAAAAAAGCTGTTTTGGCAAAACTGCTGACGAAGAATACTTGATGACTATATTGTTCACAAGTGCTACTACATTGCAATAAACATGTGTCTTCAAATTATTGTCAATAAAAAAATTGAAAAAGTATTTTTAGAATATAATTTATTGAGACATAAGTAATATCAAAGAAAAAGAGTAATGGAAAAGTACCATTCGACAGCCATGCAATTAACAAGTCTCACAGAATTTAAACAAGCTTGAAATTCAATTGGTTTTTTCCATTTTTAAAAATCTTCGTAAATAATTTTGTCAACTCTTTTTCTCTGAATGATTCTGCTCTGTTGGAAGAGTCTTTTTCAGTACATCAGCTTTGTTTCCCTACTTCTGATTTTTTGAAAGAGTATGCTTCTAATTCATCCATACATTCTACATATTTTAACCAAGCACTATCACTTCACTTAACAAGATAAAAAACTGTTGAATTTTGTTGGATTCCAAGTCATACTGGTATCGCAGGAAACACTACGGCTGATAGTGCTGCCAAAAATCCACTGCAGTACAACATTGTTTATAGTTCCTTATTCTGATCTGAAATATTTAGTAAAAACTTAATATGTAAAATCTCTTTGGCAAATATTTTGGAAATTTTGCGATAAAAATAAACTTTATAAAATACAAAACAAGTTAATCAATAATGTAATTTTGGTTTGAAACGTCTGGATGAAGTTAATATTATATCAAGAATACGAATCGAACGATCAAGATTAACTCATTCATAATTATTAAAAACAGTAAACACCAACCTGAATGTATATCTTGCGACTGTGCAATGACTATACATCACATAGATTTAGAATGCAAAGATTTTTTTCTCCTGTAAGGGCATACGTTTTAATAATGTGCAAACAATGCAGGGCCTTTTTACAAATATTAACACATACAATTTTACAATACTTAAAGGAAACTGATTTTTACAGTAAGAATTAGATTTATATATTTTTATTAGCAATTTGTTTTTTATTACTAGTTCAACTGTTTTCATATTTTCAAAGAAGATACAGTTTAATTTTCTTAAAAAGTTATGAAATTAGCTTTAATATGAGTTCGATAGATGAATATGGTAAATCATTAAAGAATATGGCTTGATGGACGGCCATTCTGAAAAAAATGACGTCATTAATATTGTACCATTCTAAGTTTTAGGCAGAAAAGCCTTCTGTGGATATTTTCTTTAAGAAAATAGTGTCCACGGCCGTCGCCCACTTCAAGTTTTGGATATATTTTGTAAATGCTTTGAAAAATCACATATATAAAACTCTTTGTGGGCGATTCCTGTGCTGTGTGTTTTCTGAAAGAAATAAACTGTACCTTGTTCTTTGATGTCTGTCGGATGGGGCGTTAAACGGTGCCCCGTGTCAAGGACTGCAACCTTCTTGGCACACAAAAGGTCGTTTCTCTGCTGGTTTAAGAAAAAGAGTGGGCTCATTGGGATTCGCCTGAGAAACCCCCAAACTACTAGCCCCGAATGTTAATTTCAACCGCCGAAATTTGGCTGAGACATTGCCGAGTCGATGTTCAATAATAGTAATCAATCTAAGTCTACAACGAGAGAGAAGAAGAAGATAAACAATTTAAAGGAATAATACATTTAAACATCGTAATTAACAGACTACAATGTCAAATAAAAATGAATATACAGAAATATAGTGGTTAAAAACCATGCAGTTTATCATTCAATTAAAGTTAAAGACTAACTTTCGAACTTAGAAAATGATCGAGTTTCTTGGTTGTAAGTTGTTATTGTCATTGCCTGTTGTGCTTCTTTGCAACTTTGCATGCATATATGTACGCCTACAAGTATATGTATCTCCATACCGTATACTAAATTAGAACTCCTGACCCAAGGTATCGATTTTTTATGTTTCTTGTAATTTTTTTTATATCGACATCTTTGAACTACTCCTTTCAACTTCTTAATAATCACATTTAGCCCATATTTCCTGAAAGCCTAGTCTAGCTTTCCAAATATCAAATTAAAGCATATCTCAGTATACTAGTATGGGTATTTATGGGATTTTTGCAATGAAACACTTTTTTTCACATACGCCTTCCTTTTCTTCATTTGTTTAGAACAGCTCAGTAAAGTTACTTTATAACCTTAATGTAGTGATCACTAAAAATGAATGTTCAATTTTAAAACAGGGTACAATTAATGCAACAACATGTATTTCATTGTACACTTTTGCGAATCAAACCTTATGTTGTCCTTCAAAAGCTTTTTCAACACATCGTTTTTGTCAAATAAACCGTTAAACATGAAAGTCCTAATAAGCTTTTAATTGATCTACCAGCAAATGTCAACTGCGTCAAAAGAAATCAAACTTCAGATAAGCGTTGTATGTCAAAGAAGAAATTCATATTGCTGTTTTTGAAGTCAATACGATGATTTAGCCACCCGAGGATTACAATATTCATCGAGCTCGAAGGGCGAGGTAAATATTGTACTTCGAACATGGCTAAATGATCGTATTGACTGAAAAAAACACGTCAGGAATAATTGTATTATTATGTGATTCAATGATACAATTCATCACTTGTTTGCATTTGTTGAAGTCCTAACCAAATATAAAAAGAGAAACAGAGTTACAATGTAAAGAGACCTCGCCAGTCGTATTAATTTGAATGTTTTAAATCTATTTTAGTTACCATGAAAGAATAAAAATAATGTCAGGCTCCTTTATGTAAAAGATTTTGATAGGATGGAGGATTATCAGGTAGAACTGACAACTTAATAAAAGTAAAATGTTTGTTCGTCTAATATTATGTTTACATTAGTAAAAGTCGGTAGCAGGTGTAATAGAGATCCAAATCTATTTTCAGATCAATGTAGAGAAAATAAAGCCTTATATTCACCTGAAACGTCACGTGCAGGTAAATAGAACGTAATATTTTTTCTCCATGGTTGGACCTCAGCCAATCAGATTGATAGGAATTATTCAATCATATAATAAAATATAATTTCTATACATATCTCCATATATGTGCGACTGTGTATGAACTAGGACTTATCTGTAAAAGCAATTCTAGAGAATAAATAATAAGGAATTGATGGCAAACTATACATGTGAAACAAAATAAAATTAAAAGAAATTTAATTTATTCGTTTGATAATTCAAAATTGTTTGTTAATAAAAAGGGAATTCTTAGCATCATATGAATTATACCTATTACAGTGTAGATATATGTAGGTCGCAAATACAGTGTATATGGAACACACAGATAAGATTTTGATGTGTTTAAAATTCAGTCAGGATGACCCATACTAAGGTGACCGTTCTGTTTATTTTGGCACTCTCTGGGGTTTTTGCCACAGTGAAGGAAGGTTTGCATTGATTCATTTTATTATAGCTTATAGTCCTTCACAAATTTAAAAAAAAAATGTACAAACGGAAATAATTTACGTGGGTTAGAATTTTACATCATTGAATATTTATTCTATCAAATATAATGCCAATGCCAGGAAGAACATGTTCAATCAATTTGTTAAATGTGTTTAAATATTTTTTTTTTATCTTGAAGACAAGGTTGCCATCCAGTACAAATCCTTACCTGATTCATCGACAGAAATAACAAATTCTGCAGAAAATTTTCTCTTGGATGCTAGTGATTTGGGCAAATATGGAGACTACTGCAGACTCTTTAAGGATGTCAAAGACGTTAATAATTTACTTCGAAGGTTTCCAAAAAGAATGAGAACAGGTTAGACAATGTGTTCTTCCCGCTTTTTTAAATTAAATAACGGCCACATTATAAAACCATGTCCTAGGATCATGAAACAGACTTACACTTATATGACAAATTTTCAATTGCCTGTAAAATGTTTATTATGTATTATTGAATTAGTCTTTAAATTTGCAGACAACAATACTTTTGTAAGGCATACTGAAAAATAAATATTTTAATAGAGAAAATAAATATTTTATTTCATGGTCTGTTTTACTTTTACAGCATTTTAATACAACTTCAGATCTTGACCTAAGTTTCGCTTGTTATATTTATATATGTACAGACGAGATATATTTAAAATTGACAAGTGCTATAGATGAAAAGTGTAACTAATATTTCTGAACAGATAATTAAAATGCTGCAATTCAAATCATAAATAAAAACATATATAATTATGATTAGATAATTTGATCTCCACTCCTTGCAGGTGATTATGCGATTCTAAATTTGTTGAAACGGTGCATCCTTTATGACATTGCAATGCAATCAAAATTCTCCGGATCAAAGAGAGCTGACGACAATGGGTCGGAGATGCCTTTCAAACCCGAGAAGACCGGTCAGGCAGCGGGGTCAGGGGCTACTGGGATTGGAATATTCCCAGGAACCAAATGGTGCGGACTTGGGAACAAAGCAAAGTCCTACACAGATCTAGGTACCAACTGGATTGTCAAACATCCTTAAAAGAGAAAAACAATAAGTTCTATATTTTTTTTTTATTTTGGTCAAAGAAGTGAAAACATACTATGAAATATGAAATTTCAAGGGAGGTTATAAGATTTGTTGATGATTTCCTGATATGAAGAGACCCACAAATTCATGGAAAATATCAAATATATCACAACTTAGCATTTCTTCAACTACGAAATCTAGTCTTCACGAACCGAAAAAAATTCCTCGGTATTAAATTTACAGAATTAACTTTTTAAAGGAAAATTCAACGCAACAGATGCCTGCTGTCGAACCCACGATCACTGCCCTTACTTCATTGACCATTTTGAGGAGAAATACAACTACCGTAACCCTTATCCCTGGACGCTGAGCCATTGTGACTGTGATACCAAGCTCTACAATTGTCTAAAGGTATTGAAACACGAGGCCCAAGAACCACAACGCTGACCACAGTTATTTTGGTCATCTCTGCTTGCCAAGGGTTTTGTCAAAAAGATGCATTTTGGCATAATTATAATAATGTAATACAATAATTATAGTTATTCTTCAAAAGGATATATTAAGGTAACTAGAATTTGCATTTATTTTAAAACCAACGTTTAAAAAATTATATAATTTAATGAAAATTTAAGTCGTAAATTTAGCTAAATACCTTTTACTAATTATTTTAGTCTGTCAACACGACCGCCGCAGATGAGGTTGGAAAGCTGTTTTTCGGACTGCTGAACGTGAATTGCTTTACCTTTCATAAAGGGCAGTACTGTCAGCAGGAGCACTGGTCCCATCTGTTCTGCGAGAAATATACAACCGGCGAACGGGCCGTCACTCAAACATTTCCTCACAAATGGAGCGATACTATCGGATAAATACTTTATTCATAAACATTAAATATTGGTGCAAACTGTTTACTCTGAAATGATTATTTAAGGTTTAAATGGGTAAGTAGTGCAACCAATTCAAGATCAATCAATTGTGAAAACACTTCCAAAGATTAGAAAAGAAAAAAGTAAAGGTCGTCCCTATATGTTTTTCTTTTACATGACCTGGAAGAAGGAACTCGTTAAGAAAAAAAGGGGGAATAGGTGCTTGTATGACCCAATAATATTGCTGATATATACTTTATCATAAAAAAAAAACTAACAACTTAATACGTTTGTCCTTGCAATAACATATGATGTCTGGTGTTAATTTTTCCCTTGGTAGCCACCCCCCTCCCCTCAATGTTAAAAATACACAGTCCTGTGCGATATTGGTAAAGGGCAATTAAGATTAAATCTTTTTCATACTAGTCCGCTCATTTAAACCCACTATACGACAATAGTGTATTGAAATTATATGGAAATAATAAGTATGCATACATGTTTGAGGATGAAATGCTTCAAAACCACAGAAAATAAAAAAAAAAAAAAAGAGTAATTTACAATATTTTTGGGGGAAATGTGCGCAAAGCATTGATAAAAATGTATAACTGTGAAAAACTGATCTAACTACCAAACTTCTCGATCTGTTATACTATGTATATTTACGTGGTATGCTACAAACACCAACAAAACTGTTGGTATCCTGGCAATTAACGGAGATTGGTTCGGAACTTTCTGCTTCTGGCATTGCAATCCCTTCTCAAAACTGTGAAAATCTGTCAATTATCCACACCATCTTCTAGTTACGTTGTGGTTTAATAGTCAATATCAGTGATTGTTGACAACAAATTTCGCACAAGTTCAGTGGATATGGTGCATAAACTGTACATCTTGATAGGGAAAAAGGGAAACCAATTCAAAATACCAAAATTGCCCTAAACATTTTATGATTTCCCATATGATCATTTTTTTAAAAAAAAAACTTTATGTTAAAAAAAATAATTATTTATATTTTTCATGAAAAGGAGTTATATATTATGTACGTATATATTTTTATAATAAATAGAATTTTTATTGAAAAAAAATATTGAAGTTAATTATTTAAAGCTGCATTTTCGAGAAATTTATTTTGATGTTTATTAATTTTTTTTTTAAATAAAGGAGGCTTCCAAAAATTTATATACTTCAGAAAAATAATGATTCCTAATTAAAAATAGCAATTATAGAAATTTAAAATTGGTTGAACAATGAAGCAATATGAGCATTTGGACCTCCAGTATTGCTGCCAACGGGAGGTAACTTTTGCTAAATTTAGGTCAAGTGAAAACTATCTTTATGAGCTGCATTTTTGAGAAATTCATTTTGATGACAAAATGTGTTGTTATGATTAATTTGTATGTAATTTAATCCCTTATGATCAATGGGACCAAAATAAAGTTTTAAAATGTTTCACAAGAAATATTTCTGTACAATCAAATATGTAGTGTTATTATACCCCCGCTCCGAAGGAGAGGGGGTATACTGTTTTACCCTTGTGTGTCTGTCTGTCCGTCCGTGTGTCCGTCCGTAACAAATTTTCGTCGCAGTTTTCTCGGCAACTACTCATCGCAGATGCTTGAAATTTTAAGACAATCTTCTCTGAGGCATGCCATATGGTGGGATACATTTTTGTTTAAATCTGATGTCAACTTCCTGTTTGTCTGTGCGTCTGTCCGTTTCATACACAACAAATTTTCGTCGCAGTTTTCTCAGCAACTACTCATCGCAGATGCTTGAAATTTTAACACAATCTTCTCTGAGGCATACCATATGGTGGGATACATTTTTGTTAAAATCTGATGTCAACTTCCTATTTGTCTGTGCATCTGTCCGTTTCATACATAACAAAGTTTCGTCGCAGTTTTCTCAGCAACTCATCGCAGATGCTTGAAATTTTAACACATTTTTTTCTGAGGCATGTCATATAGTGGGATACACTTTTGTTAAAATCTGATACCAACTTCCTATTTGTTTGTGCATCTGTCCGTTTCATACATAACAAAGTTTCGTCGCAGTTTTCTCAGCAACTACTCATCACAGATGCTTGAAATTTTAACACAATCTTCTCTGAGGAATGCCATATGGTGGGATATATTTTTGTTCAAATCTGGTGTCAACTTCCTATTTGTCTGTGCGTCTGTCCGTTTCATATATAACAAATCTTCGTCACAGTTTTCTCATTAACTATTCATAGCAGATGCTTGAAATTTTAGTACACTCTTTGTTGAGGCATGCCATATGGTAGGATTAATTTTGATATGAATCTGATGTCAACTTTATATCTTTTATTTTTCTGTGCATCTGTCTGTAATTGAACTTATGTATATTAACATAATAGTGCTTATTTACATCAGAGCGGGGGTATTACTAGTGAGCATTGGCTCACAGATTTCTTGTATAAGAAATCATTATTGTACAGGGCGACAATAATGTAATTTTGCTTCAATCAAAGCTTATAAAAAGCTCTTCGATCACAAATATGAAGAACTTTATAAATGCTCTATTTTTCTTCATTGAAATAATTAATCACAAATTTGCAACAAAATTTTCCCATGTCAATCAGGGGCGTCGGCAAAGGGGCGGCAGGGGCGGCGGTCGCCGCCCCAATAATTTTGCAAAAAAAAAAAAAAATAGTGAGATTGTTTTTCTTTTTAAAATGATTTTTTTAAACGGCGAAATCTGCTCATTGGAGCGGCGAGTATAACGGCATTCTGCATGTTCTGTGGTCAATGGAGCGGCAAAGTGTGTACAAGCTATTGTTTACACAGACGTCAAAACGGGATATACATGCATGTCTATATATACCTGTACCTGGCGTGTGTACACAATTAACAGGGTAGTCATTATGATTGCTGTAAGTGCGGGTTTGCTACAAATTGTTCAATGTCCAATTAATTGGTCGATCGATGTTTGGAAGCTTTGATGATTCAACATGATTGCAAGTCATTAAACAATTATCGAAAATATTACAACGTATGAGCATATTAATTAAAGGGGGAAAACTGAAAATTAGTTAAAATCACTGTCTAAAACAACTTGAGATGATTTTTTTTTAATATTATTACACTTATTCTACATTTCAATTTCAAAAATGGCCGGATTAAAAAGTATTAATCAATCTGTTATTATTATTATAATTATTATTCACTCTACCTCATGTATCACTGATTTTTGGTGTGAGTTTTATAAATTGACCTGAACTACATGAATAAGAACAATACACAGTGATTGGATTTAATAATTAATCATGAAAAAAATTAATATATGTGTAAGCAGTGTCTATCAAAATTTAGGGATTTAAAGCAATATGAGCTGCATGTTTGAGTCTCAAACATGCAGCTCATATTGCTTTAAATCCCTAAATTTTGATAGACACTGCTTACACATATATTAATTTTTTTCATGATTAATTATTAAATCCAATCACTGTGTATTGTTCTTATTCATGTAGTTCAGGTCAATTTATAAAACTCACACCAAAAATCAGTGATACATGAGGTAGAGTGAATAATAATTAGTCGCCAGAGTTGAAGGTTTGTTAAATAACTATCGATTGTATGTCAATGATCTAATATAAAAGAGTCATTTTGAAAACAACCCAGGAAGTTTCTTGAAGGTGCCAGTTTGAGTTTGCGGGGGCCGTATCAAGCGCCCGTATCTTCAGTCACCATGCATCTCTGAACAAAAGCACATGTTGTTATGTGCACTGTTTATGACTAATATCTAATAGTAAGTTCAGTTGTAACGTTGGCCTTGGTTTAAGACAAAGAAAGAGGGTATTTAAATATCAATGTCCTTTTAATCTTATTTCTAAATTGATAATTTAAGTTTATCTGTTTAAAGTGTATGCAAGGTGCCAAATTGTAATTAAATATTACTCAAAACAGACTTGTGACAAATATACTTTGTGGTTGTTCTAGTCCTTTAATTGTTGCTATACAAAGACGACACTTCATTCAAAAGTGTTATCTCTACATCAAAAGATATAAAATAATGAACAATCTCTAAAAATTATGAAAGAATCAGATTTAAATTTAGAGGAGCTGTCCCGAGGATTATTGCACCATCATTTGCGGTTTAAAATTAGACTAATAGATCAGGGGCGAACGATTGGCGAGGGATTTGAGTACTAGGACCTAACAACAATTATAAACAAAAATAATGTTCACGTAGTAAAAAGAGCTTAAATTCTGCCCTGACTCATAGTACGTCCAATATTTGTTTTGATATGTAAATGAGTTCCACACGTGTTTGTAGCACCTGGCACTTAAGACAAAGCTTAATTCTGTATTTTAAATATACATGTATCTTCCGTCGAAGGAACAGGACTTCGAAGATCGATTGACCGCGCTGCTGAAAACATAATGTGTTCCCAAATGCGAAAGCGGGAAATTCGGACCGATTCCAAACGTTCCTCTCTGAGCAGAAAAATAGGCAGACAGTGTCGTTTGATAGGGGATGACATGACAAAAAGATACAAGACAGTGTCTGCAGAAGATTTCCAGACAGAAGCTCCACATGTGAACTATAACCACAACCTTGTTTTTGTGGGACTTGTGAGCTCTCTGCATTTGTGTTTTATCCTTTCACGTTTATCAATAAACTGAAAACTTTTCGGGAAATCGGTGAATAAAAATAGAAAAACGATGCAATTCAAAACCTGAAACTTGAACTAAGATTTCTTGGACTAGAGACTTCTCTTTGCATTTTTTTTTTATTCTTGGATAAATAGAAAATAAAATGCGGAGTACATGTATTTTGGAGCAATTTTATTTTCGTTGCTATGACAATTTTCGAAATAACAAGTGGGGACAACAAAATGGAGATCATCAGATCAAATTGACATTAAAGCACGCATGAACATTTCAAATAAGTGAGAATTCAAGAACAAAAAAATCATTTTCTCTGCAAGGACAAAGAAAGAGAAGACATTATTTCATTATGGAATGGTACATTCAGTGATATTCGTTTGAGGTGCAGGTTCCAAGTTCGAA